ACTTGGACGACGAGGATGTTGCCATTAAGTGTTTTTTTGGCCGTTTTGAACTTGGACGACGAGGATGTTACCATTAAGTGTTTTTTTGGCCGTTTTGAACTTGAAGTGTGACCCGGGAGCAGTTATCCCTTTTTTTTTTTTTTTTTTTTCCTTATAACACACCCCCTGCAGTGCTAGTTTTTGTGCAAGAGGAAGAGTGTAAAGTAGCAAGCGCCGAAGATAATTTGACATGCAAGATTATTAATCCCTCTGGGATCACACGTACATGCACCCACCGACATACGTCATCAAATTATGCGAGTGTGGGACTCGATCAATCATCCATACAATGTCATTTCATATGTAAGAGAAAGAGTGTCAGAGTATAATGAGTGAGATGCACTCCCGGACCAGTTATTCAACTTAGCTCACACACTCAGTCAACTTGTTTTGTCTCCTTATAGGGACCATTCCGCAAGCACAAAACCAAAACCAGATACACATCCGACCCTCGCAGCCAAGGCCATCACCTGGCCATGCACATGACTGACAGAGACCAAGCAGAAATGGGGAAAGTCGAAGTCTCTTACATAATCTGGTTAAAACAACTGTCCGATTTTGCACACACCTGAGTGATACACTCAACCATGACGCCGAGCTGTGCCGGGTCAGCCTCTCCGGCTCACCGCCTGTGCACAGCTCTCCACAGACTCCACCAGGACCACCACTGCTCTATCCCTACAACTGTTACAGCAACCCACCTATCCTACCACACGACTGGCGTAGCCAGAGAATGACTGACCATGACATGGATTTTCAGAGGGGAAGGCAGGGGGTGGCACACCTGCTTGAAAAGAAAACTGCTCCAACCTTCTCTTCAAGCAAAAAAAAAAAAAAAACTGTAGGGTAGTGGGACTTTGCCCTTCTTTTTTGCCTCTGGAATAAGCAAAAAGGACTTTTTATGTTTTTACTGACTGCTCACATTTGATTTGCATTCCAGGGCCAAGGTCCTCCTACCTAGCATGGATTCTGTGTTTCTGGCTGTAGATTGAGGAGATCAACGACAGCCAGATATGCAGTACCCATGCTAGGCAGGAGGAGCTTGCCCCTGGACTGTGTTTTGCCTATCTTTTTTGGGTGCAGTCACTTTGCAGGATTGCTATTTTAACACTACACGGCGGGGCAGGCTGGCGTGCTCCTACACTGGATCGACGACATCGTTCGAGTGTGTCGGGAACTTTAAGACAAATACAAAGAATTGTCTGCCAGGCGGCGTGCTGAACACAAGTAATCCTGGTCGACCTTGTGCAGAACTGCTCACCTCGTTTGCGGAGCCATTCATCAGGTACTAAGTCACTGTGATTGTGTCAAAAACTTGAGGAATGTTTTATACTACTTATAGGTCGACGGGATGCTATTGAATCCCCTATGACACAAAAAAGTAGAGCTCATCGCAACTTTGCAAGTTTTTTGTTTCCACCAGGGGAGCCTGCAAGAGATACTGGCAGCAGGGAGCCTAGGGAGGGAGGGAGCTCTACAGAAGTAGACTCGGAGCTTTGCAGGCTCTAGCATCCACAAACGGGGGAAAACGGGGGAAGAGACTCCTTATGCTGAACGTGTGTCTACACAATGACATCCTCCTCCCACCAGTCCTGGAGTAGAGGAAAAACACCAGAGTGAATAAGAACAGCTGTTCATGCTCAAAATGAGAATGAATCTTCCACACAGGAGGCAGAAGATTCATTCTCGTTTAAATTTGCAGTGCAATATATTTCCCACCTCTCTCTCTCTCTCTCTCTCTCTCTCTCTCTCTCTCTCTCTCTCTCCACACGACCCAAAGATGGAAAGTGCAAAACGGGCGTCTTTGTTTTTCAATTTCTTTTTCTTTGGCAGACGAGTGTCAATTTTTTTTTTTGTCTTTTTTTTCTTCCGATGTCTACCTACCGGTAGCTCGAGGCTCGGAGGTTTGGGATACCAGTAGGCTGAGCCACGGGCCTTAACAAGCGCTAGGTACTGGTGGTTTAAACCGCCAGTACTTGTCCCCGCTTGAAAAACAAATATGTGTCTCTTTCATGGCCACATTTTGAGGGGTCGCGGTACCGGACCAAAATGGCTGGTGGCGCCAGCCAAAAGGAGGTCCACGTGGTTCTTTTTTTTCCGAAGCGCAGGCCAATTTTAGGGTCGGTGTCTATAGCCGGGAAAGGTACTAGTGGTTTAATGACAACTAATATGTGGAAAACTGTTTTAGACATCTTGAGAACACTATTTCTTATTATATTGGTTACCCTCCCACTGTAAAATGTTCTGAGCCTTCGATCGCAGCACTGCTAGTCACCCAACGCTGCAGATGGTTGAAGACCCAGCTTTGACCTACCTCAGTGAAGTCGCCCAATGCCACAGATGGTTTAGAGTCAGAAAGGAAGAAAGAGGAGAAAAAAAGAAGAGAAACTATGGCGCAGCCAGGGTTACAGTTTGTAATTGCATTTCAAACTGTGTTTTAGTAGTTTAGTCAGGGCCCGCGTTTCAGATGCAGTTGAAACTCGGGCTGGCCTTTTGTAGCTGTTCAGTCAGTCACATGGCCCCTTTTTTATCTTTTTCGGGCTTTTTTTGTTTTCCCCCCCCCCCCTGAGCTCTCCTAAGTTTCCTTTTCTTTTCTTTCCTTGTTCTTTTTCTCTTCCGTCGCCTGGTGGGGCCACGGCTGAGATGTCTCGGCCCCACCTGAGGGGGAAAAAAACATCTTGTTGTGTGGCAGTGTCGGTGCGAATATCCTTACAAGTTACAAGGGTATCTGCCCTGGTTTTTGCAAGAGACAGGAGTGGGAATCAACTCGGAAATTTGGGTACGCCGCGAGAGCCGCGGCCAGTTTTTCTCCTTGTGACCAACTGTGCGTCAGAGGAAGAATAGGGTGTGTGTGTGCGCGCAGTTTTGAGGCGCACGTGATTTTCTCTTTTGATGATTACGAAGGCGGCATAATTGCTGGTCACCTGCTTGTTTTTTATCAAATTAGGATTATAAGATTTTTTCTTTTGGTCAGGTACAATTACAATGGTGCGTACGCGCGCGCGGAGGTTGAATTGTTATGGCCGGCATCAGTTTTGACTGCGGTGCTGCGAGCTTTTTAGAGGTAACTACCTTTATTTTTATTCGAAGGGATTTCGAGGTAGCGTAGCGCGCGGTGCAGCTGGGCATTTTGTGGTGTCTGTCCGCCTGTAGGAATCCCATGGCAGCCTCGGCGAAGGCATGCGGAGAGGGAGTTACCGCAAACGAAGTTCGAGCTTTCACCACTGAAATGGTAAAGGCACGACTTTGGAGTGGAAAGTGATGCGTGTGGCTGCTACGAGCAGAACCAGGTCCCTTCGTATGGTGGGTGCCGACATTTGGCAGCCGCAGGTTCGACCGGTAAACGAAGATGTGCCCTTGGAGTGTTTCGGTAGTGCCACACACATGGCGGAACTGTTTATATGGTACTGTTATACCGGGTTTGACACGGGACGCAGCCATTCGGGTAGCATGATTTATGTTCTACACAGTAAGCTTGGCAAAGGTCTTATGAAGTGGGGGATAGGCAGCCTTCTGGATGGTAGTGTCTAAAGCCAACACTCTCGCACACACCACACTCAACCCACTCACACGCGCACTCACACCCGCGTTGGCTGAAGACCTTACTGATACCGACTGGGAGGATCCAGCTGACTATTTCAGTTGGTTGGCACCAAGAGTGCCACAGGCGGCCATGGGGATTGACCACACAACCTCCTGAATGCCACTTGCGTGTGTAACCAATTGAGCTAGGCCGCTGGATGGAGCCCAGATTCTTCGATCGCAGGAGAGGGGGAAAAAAAATACGGAAAAACGAAGAGCAAGCTGCTGAGGGCTGTACCACCCCACACGCGGCCAGGAAAAAGGGCATTTCAAGCTCTAAATTACTAGCAGTGCATCTACCTATGTTCTACCAGAAGATTCATGCTCATTTTGCACATTTGGTCGGTAGTGGAGCAAGGCCCTTGATTTCCACAGCTCTCGTGGCAAAGGTAAGTACGTTTTTTCTTCTTTTTTTTTCTGAAAGTCAGTACGTTTTTCTTTTCTTTCCTTTCCTTAGTAAGCCCTGCCAACAAGGCAGGGCAGTCCGTTCTAGATTTCGTTACTTGGTCGCGGTAAACAGCAGAATGCCTCCATACTGTATTTCTTGGGAGATGCAGTAGAAGAGAAAAAAAACAAAACAGACCCAAATAGCCTGCGCAGACCCATATCGCCCGCCCCCAGTTTGCAACGGAAAAAAACTCTATCCCTCAAAAGGGAAACAACGGACGGCGACCTATACTAAATTGCAACGACCTCAACAAGATAACCTGCCCTACAACCGGTCTTAGGGACGACTGCGACCGGACCCTATTTTCTGCTGTCGGAGACCCCAAACGAACACGTCCTAGCCAAGCTGTACTGCACGATCTTACCGAAAATAGAAAGAACATGAAACGACGAAAATGGAACCCACACAAGCGCAGCCTCCTGGCTGCGAATTTTGCAGGGGCTAATCTCGGCTTTGGGCCTAGGACTATTTGTTACGATATGGGACTCTCAGCAGGCAGGTTCGGGGATCGAGACCAGCACCTGGCGACAAGGGAGTGAAGGAGCTGCGTAAAAAGGACTGAGGGGTGGAGGGCCCGGCAGGGCTATTCCCCTTGGTTTTGTCGCCAGGTCCTGGCCGCGGACCCAATCGGTGGGCACAGGGACGTACCAACAACCCCCACTATCCCCTCGTCAGTTCTTTTTCTATGCAACCTCATATTCTATTTTTTTATTTCTTACCTATCTTTATTGCTTTACCTATTTTTGTTTCATTATTTTAGTCCCGTTTTCGGGGCTGGTAACGACGGTTGGCCAGTTCGGCGATGATATCAGATTCTCAAGGCCGTCACCTCGCGAGGTAGTCCTTCAGGACATCCATTAAATTGAAATGATACAGAGAAGACTGGCATGGCCCCTACAACTGGTTTCGGGGCTGGTCATGTAACCCAAGAGCCTAGCGGAGTTTACACCCATGGACTGTTGAAATACAGGCCCGAGTCAAACTCTACTAGAGCCAGATGGGGAGTTTGATAGGGACAGTGCAATTGCGAGTGCACTGTCCGCCTCTCACAATTTGCTATGAGAGGTATGCGTATGAGCATGTCCTTTGGGACCTCAAAGATGGTGGGCTATGCTTGAGCAGGGAAAGGCCTGAAGGAACTCTGGTGGAGGTTCGCAGCGATACTGACGTGCAAATCATTCGTCGGACTGGGTATAGGGGCTAAAGACTAATCGAACTGTCTAGTAGCTGGTTTCCTCTGAAAGTTCCCACAGGATAGCAGGAGCTGTTAACAGCTTAGCGCGCCGCTGTGTGGTCGGGTGCTGGGAACTGGCACCGGCGGTGAACGAACCAACTGCCCTGGATCAGTTGGTACTCCTCTGAACTGTTGAAATACAGGCCTAAGTTCTCCTCTGAACTGTTGAAATACAGGCCTAAGGTCTCCTCTGAACTGTTGAAATACAGGCCTAAGTTCAAATCCAGATACGGTCAGATGATAGAATAACATACGTCTGATTTTGCCTGGGCCGCTTGGCTGTCTGGTGGTTGCCATGGTGCTTCGACCCTTCCTCATCCTTCGGAACGATACAAAGAAGATTAGCATGGCCCCAGCGCGAGGATGACACACATAAATCGAGAAATGGTCCGAGCTTTTTGTTGTTGTTGTTGTTGTTGTTGTTGTTTCATTCACACTTTTCCACTTCACGTTTCGATCAGACCATGTGCTAAGTGGCTGTGCTACGGGAAGCGGAGTGGGCTATCAAAACGAAGAGAGGAAGGGTGAAGATGAGCGACACTCCTCTTCACAGCAGCTTGGGCATCTTCGTAGTTGCGAAGGCTGCGGAGGACGTCATTATGGATCCCAGAGGTTTTCGTAGACTGTGATGATCATCTCAGGGGCTAACGCGTTAGGTACATTCAAAGGAGGAGGGAGGCGTAGTGGTGAAAAGAGAGTCATACCTCCCCTGTTTCTTAGTAGAATCGGATGGTGTAAGGCTCGATTATGAGGTCTTGGACCTCTGCGACTCTAAATTTGCACTTAGAACGTGGTTGGAGGAGTAGAATAGGAGAAGGGAGAGATAAGGCGTGCACGGGGGAGTTGAGGAAGGAGAAAGAAATGAGAAAGGGCGAGAGTAGAAATTGCATCACGCTCGTTTCCCAACGAAAACGAGCGAGGAAGGTGTCGATCTTGGGGTTACGACACAAGGCGAGTTGGATGGTGCATGCAGATTTTGATTCACAACGGCTGCCTAGGTGGTATGGGCTGTAAAAGGCTG